GATTACGAAAAAAAAATTCGATCGAACTCATTTACGGCGGGTTGAGCATGAGTAGATACGAAAGTGGTATCGCCATCTATACTTAGGAAGCAAAATCAAAAATTACATCTAGTAGATATCCACGATGGTTTGCGTCCGCGCTTAGACTTTGATATACATATTTATATTTATAGTGGATGTCCATGGGATATTGAATACACCTTAAAAAAATTAATTTTAAATATCTGAACGGTACTATTAGCCACAATGGCGAGCACAATGGCGTAATTTTTTAATAATTTGCTATATAATTACTATTATTTATGGACATTTGCATGTCTATAAATTACATTTCATGGATATAAAATAGATATCCACCATGGACTGGATATTCAGTGGATATTGGGATGTTCAGTAGATATCCAAAGGATTTGGTGTGCTGTCTGGGTATATTTGAAGAATATAAAGAAAAAGGAGTCACGGTCCATTTTAGGAAAATTTTGTATAGAACAAAAATTATAGACAATAATATTGGAAGTAACTCTTATTTAAAGAATTTTCTTCTCCAAACGTAAATAATAGATATATTTCATAAAATATAAAAATGACCCCCTATAAAGTACACCCCAGATGTTTCGACTCTGCCCAAAATCTAATCAGTTTACCTCAGGTCGGATTAAAGCATAGGTTTAAAATTTAATGTGTTTTTCTTTATCCGTTTTTGAGTTTTCTTTAAAATTTGAAATTTACACATTTTGTTAAACTTTAATTTAAACATCCGGTATATATAGATTAAACACCGACTAGACGTAAAATCTGATCGGACAGTGGACTGCAATTCAAATTGGGTATTTTTTTCATAGAAAAAAAAAATACTTTTAAATTGGACCAAATTACAAATAATTACCAAATTTTATCAAAATCCGTTCAGTAGTTTCGAAGTTTATCGCGAACATACATCGCGACACGAAATTTTTATATATATGTAAAGATTAGTAATTTTTTTCTTTTTTTCAGGAGATTCGAAAAAAAAAATAGATTAAGTTAGGTTTAAGTTAGGTTTAATTTAATTTTAAAGTTAGTTTTAAGTTAGTTTTAATATAATTTTAAGGTTAGAATAGTTTTAATTTTAAGTATTTATAAATACAGACTAACGAACTTTTTAATGTTCTTGTCTATATGTACTTACATATATAATGTTAAATTATAAAATGTTAAAAAAAAAGCTTTTTCAATTTTAACCCTTTCTTTATTTTTGTAACTATAGGCTGGACTTACAAGTAAAGGTAAAAATCGACAGGTATTTCTAGTATATGAATTATTTGCACAAAAATTTAAACTCAAAAGGAAAATTTACATTACAAATTGAAAGACCTGCGGGGCAAGGGTAGTTTGGTAGGTATTTAAACTTATTTTGACTTTGCCCCCTAACTTTGTTATCACAAGCTGAGTTTTTCAGGGTAGAAAAAACCCTTTATTCCAGAAGACAAGGCATAAAAAAATCGTGATATTGATACCACTCTATAGAAAAAAATAAATGCCAATTTTTCGGTCTAATACACAATTAGGTCTTTCTTTATAAAGAATATTTTCTATAATTATTTAAAAACGATTGTTTTATGGTTTTATGATAAAAAAAAAAAATATCTCTGTTTTAACCGTCTACAAATTTAATTAAAAAATCTTTTAGAAATATACTTTTCATTTGACGGAAAACGAAGATCTAAACGAGAAAAAGATATTCTTCATGAAAGTTTCGACTATGTATTGACAAGGTAAGAGTGCTCTCTCCATATTTTTTATTTTAAAATTAACAAAAATGTAGCAACAAACAATTCTAGTCTAAAATCCGAGTAGGAAAACGACCTTCACCTGTCTGTTTAATGGACGAAAAGTATTTTATATCAAATTTAATGTATTACCCACTGGTAGCACATACTTTGATTTTCTTTTACTATACGGAGAATGGTCGCACTGCGCAGCTTTCTGAGTGCCTTTTAAAAGGAGATAGAAAACTCCGCCATTTTGAACCCTTATTACGTGTTGCCTACATCTTGGCGCAATATTTTTAATAGGTGCGTTTTAATCATCCACTTCTGCTTCGGAATTGTCGGTTTTCTTGTTTTAATTTGACAGGTTAAAATGACTAAACCGACAATTCCGGAAGCAGAAGCGGATGATTAAAACGCACCTGATATTTTGCTTGCTGCTGTCAGTGTCAGTGAATATTATTTTTGAAGTCACAGTTTATTGCTAAAGAATCAGTTAGCTCACTCGGACCAGTTGAAAGTTCCAAAATAACATCCACTCCAGGGATACAAATTCAGGATTCGCAGAAGACTGCTGTTTTATTATAGGAGGTTGTCATATATTGTATTATCCGAGTTGCACAGTGTATAAACTGAAACATTGAGATCAAAAGTGCCGACGCAGAGTGAGCGATCTGATTCTTTAGCTGTAAACTGTGTCACAGGGTTCAAAATGGCCGCGCCCTATGTTGGGCGTGTCGGACCTCTCTTTTGCCTCGTATAGTAATCAAAGTATGTGACTGGTAGCCATTTGGACAAGTCGTTGGAATGCCTAATAGTTCACTGTCAAAAGGCATTTCTTTATAAGCTTACCAGAACATACTTCTGTAACCAGAGCATTTCTTTATAATGTTTGGTTACTCTGCTTTGGTTACATGTTACCAAAGCATATGTAGCTATATCTAACGAGGCATTTATTTATAAGCTTACTAGAACATACTATAATAAAAAAATAACAAAGTCAAAACATCCTAAAATTTCTAAAATTCAAATTCTGTTTAGAAATCCCCAAACTTAAATTAAATATGACATATGACATTCAATAATAGGGAAACCATGGTATGCGTAATGTCACCACAGTAACCCACATACTTAAATAGGTATACGGCGTAAAACCCTCTGCGCATCTTTACTGAGTGTTTAATAAAAGAAGATAGAAATGACCGCCATTTTTATATAAACAAACTGAAACTTATGCAACCAATTTATCTTTCCATCTGTCAAAAGTGTCAAATTTTAATGTGTTTGTGAATTTGGTTAAATTTTTTTGTGTTATTTTAGAATATTTTGATTGTGGATATTATTTTCTAAGTGTATAAACGTTTTATTTATTTTAACATTTGTGAATAGACTTTAATCCCAGTATAAGTTCTCTATACTGGGCTTTATTCAAGATGTCTTGTAAGATCTTGCAAGAACATAAGAAGACTGTTGCCAATAGATTCAAATGTTACATTCCACAAGTAATAAGATTTAGCAAAAATAAAGGATATGAAAGCAGTGTCTTTATATTATTTTAGGGTTCCAAAACAAGCAGATCGTTCCTTATTGTGGTTATCTGCCATATAGAGATTGGACAAAATTTCTTTTAAGTTGTTAGTACAATTCACTGCAGAATCAATAAGGACGACCCATTCACTAAAAATTTGTAGCTTTTAGAAATTATGCAAGAAGAAAGTAAATTGTTTAAAATAAAACAAATATGCAACCATCAATTTAATTTTAAAGTATCCTGGAAATTTTAATATTTTTAACTTCCTCTACTTTTGTCATTTAAAATTAGTATTTAGGTATTTAATCTATTATTTGTCGGCCTATTATTTATCAGCCTAACATGTATTTTTAAATATTAAAATATTTTTATTTGTTGTAGAATAAAAATTTAATTCAAATATAATGTATTATTTCTTTTAAAAAATCTGTACAAAATTATGTATTTAAAAGTGGAAAGAGCTAGACATCTGCAACCAAGTTTTCATATTGCTGTATTTCTGGTCACCTATGTACTAGTAATCTTGTATAAAAATGGCCGCCCCTATGTTAAACAGGTCGGACGTCTCTCTTGCTCCGTATACCTATTATAAGTATGTGCAGTAACCACAATACTGTAACCAAGTATGTTGTGTAGTAAGCTTATAAAGAAATGCCTAAAATTAGATACCATCGCAATTCCAACGTTTAGGATTCCTTCTTCCCAGTGTTGCCAGACCTACTGTTTTAACAGTAGATTTACTGTTTTTGTCTGTTCTACTGTTTTAGGTATACAATTACTGTTTTGCCAACTTGACAAATTTTGTTCTTGATTTATTAAATTTGTTTTATTTTTTAGCAGATTTACAAAGAATAGTTTTTGTAAATTTGCTGAAGTCAAAGTAGCGTAATAAGTATTGTGGGTTTGCTACACACAGAAAAATATTTCATGTTTTGATTTAAAGTGCAACAAAAAATTAATAGGGCGTCATAATAAGAAAATGTACGACGAACACAACGTATTTGAAAGAAATACCTATTATTTTTCCTTTTTTTTTTTTGTTCCCTGACATTAAGTTTTACAAATTTTATTGTTTTTATTCTTTGTTAAATTTCTAATTTGGATATAAAAGCAAAAAATATTTATTTTTTTCTTTCCAATATAATAAGTAAACTGAAAATTATAATTATTTCCTCCTGTATTAAAATCTACTGTTCAGTTTTGATAACCTACTGTTTTTTTCCCACCCATCTACTGTTCTAGCAAATTTTCATCTGGCAACACTGCTCCTTCCTGTCTGACTATATATATTCTAAGGCTAAAATACGTCGCTTTCTCCGAAAAATGTCCATAGTACTGAAAATTGTACTAAATTGACTATTTTTAACTAAAACGTACTAAAATGAACAACGTAACAATGACGTCCTCGCAAAAAGACCCATTTTTAGCAATCTATACAAAGTCATGCATCATTGACCCTGTCAGTAACAGCAGGCAAATGGGTTGCCATATCTAAACGTCAGTTCCCATTTTGACAGGTCGTTGGTATGCCTAATTCTAATAAAATGAAAACTAATAGGTCGATTCTGAGACAATCTATAAAATCTGTAAAAAATTACATTACTATACCTTACAGATTCTGTAGCTTATAGGATATTTCCCAGAATCCTACCATAACCATCTCCAAGTAAAACCTCGAAAAACTCCCTAGCTATCAATTTTTATTAATGTCACTGTCTCTTGTCATTTGTCATTAATGTGATGTGTTTTTGTTGAATGTTAAATGCATATATGCAAATTTCTTTTTATTATCTAAACATTGTTTCCATTCTATTGTTTAATCGCGTAAATATATTAAAATTCGTACATTAATTTAGTACACTCTGACAAAATGGGAGATAATAACGATGGAGAAAAGCAACCTCTTCTTGCAAACGAAAATACCTCCTACAATGGTGATGTTTCTGGTAAGTTAACAATAAAGCACGAAATATGCATTGTATTTTATATATTGTTGCTCGGTTTTATTTTTACTTTGTCAATGTATTAATAATAAAAGATTTGTTTTGAATTATCCCGTTTTATATGCAGTTAAACTTCTCTGAACTAGTTACATGTTTTACAAGTTTAATTCACTCTTATCTACAATATTTCCAAGAATAATCGAAAGTTTTTAGTACATAATTATCACCCATGATTAAGCTTGTGAGTAATTTGGAAATTATTTCCGGATACATAATGTAATTCTTACAGTTTTAGTTTGGATAATTATCACTCTTTTTTTATATCTAATGCAAGATAAAAATATATTTAAGAAGTTTGATAATGATACAGATTATACTGTTATTAAATTAAATTAGACTATGGCTGCTTTTGCAAAATATAAAAAGTTATTTAATAATATTTTTAATGTAAATTTGAGAACTTTTTTTTTTAATTCGGTGTCATCAGCATCAACTAGTTAGATAATTAGCATAATGTTCTGTGTAGGCTTTGTTGCTGTTTCATAGCGCTACTTTGAACAACACTCTATGGGGCAAAAATTACAGAAAATGATGTATGAACAAGTTTTATTTAAAGAATTTTCTTCTCCAAATGTAAATAACAGATATATTTCATAAAATATAAAAATGACCCTGGATAAAGTACCCCCCTAGATGTTCCGACTATGCCTAAAATTTAATCAGTTCACCACAGGTTGCCATAAAGCTTAAGTTTGAAATTTGATGTATTTCTCTTTATCCGTTTTTGAGTTTTCTTCAAAATTCGAAATTAACACTTTTTCTCAAATATCTCGAATTCGGTCCATTTTAGAGAAATTATGTATAGGGCAAAAATTATAGAGAACAATATTAGAAGTAACTTTTATTTGAAGAATTTTCTTCTCCAAATGTAAATAACAGATATATTCCATAAAATATAAAAATTACCTCCCCCAAAGTTCCCCCCAGATGTTCCGATCCTGCCCAAAATTTAATCATTTCACCGCAGGTCGCCATAAAGCTTAAGTTTAAAATTTGATGTATTTCTCTTTATCCGTTTTTGAGTTTTTTCAAAATTCGAAATTAACACTTTTTGTTAAATATCTCGAATATGGACCATTTTAGGAAAATTTTGTATAGAACAAACATTATAGAGAATAATATTAGAAGTAACTTTTATTTGAAGAATTTTCTTCTCAAAATGTAAATAACAGATATATTCCATAAAATATAAAAATTACCCTTTATAAAGTACCCCCCAGATGTTCCGACTCTGTCCAAAAACTACTCAGTTCACTGCAGGCAGGACTTAAGCTTAAGTTTAAAATTTGGTGTTTTTTTCTTTATTTATTTTTGAGTTTTCTTCAAAATTCGAAATTAACACTTTTTCTCAAATATCTCGAATACGGTCCTTTTTAGAGAAATTTTGTATGAGGCAAAAATTATAGAGAATAATATTAGAAGTAACTTTTATTTGAAGAATTTTCTTCTCCAAATGTAAATAACAGATATATTCCATAAAATATAAAAATGACCACCTATAAAGTACCCCCCAGATGTTCCGATCCTGCTCAAAATCTAATCAGTTCACTGCAGATCGGCATAAAGGTTAAGTTTAAAATTTGGTGTATTTTTCTTTATTTATTTTTGAGTTTTCTTCAAAATTCGAAATTAACACTTTTTCTCAAATTTCTCGAATACGGTCCATTTTAGGAAAATATTGCATAGGGCAAAAATTATAGAGAAAAATATTGGAAGTAACTTTTATTTGAAGAATTTTCTTCTCCAAATGTAAATAACAGATATATTTCATAAAATATAAACATTACCTCCCCTAAAGTACCCCCCCAGATGTTCCGATCCTGCCCATAATTTAATCTGTTCACCGCAGGTCGGCATAAAGCTTAAGTTTAAAATTTGATGTTTTTCTCTTTATCCGTTTTTGAATTTTCTTCAAAATTCGATATTAACAATTTTTCTCAAATATTTTGAATACGGACCATTTTAGGAAAATTTTGTATAGAACAAACATTATAGACAATAATAATAGAAGTAACTTTTATTTGAAGAATTTTCTTCTCCAAATGTAAATAACAGATATATTCCATAAAATATAAAAATGACCTCCCCTAAAGTATCCCCCCAGATGTTCCGATCCTGCCCAAAATTTAATCAGTTCACCGCAGGTCGGCATAAAGCTTAAGTTTAAAATTTGATGTTTTTCTCTTTATCCGTTTTAGAGTTTTTTCAAAATTCGAAATTAACACTTTTTGTTAAATATCTCGAATATGGACCATTTTAGGAAAATTTTGTATAGAACAAACATTATAGAGAATAATATTAGAAGTAACTTTTATTTGAAGAATTTTCTTCTCAAAATGTAAATAACAGATATATTCCATAAAATATAAAAATTACCCTTTATAAAGTACCCCCCAGATGTTACGACTCTGTCCAAAATCTACTCAGTTCACTGCAGGCAGGACTTAAGCTTAAGTTTAAAATTTGGTGTTTTTTTCTTTATTTATTTTTGAGTTTTCTTCAAAATTCGAAATTAACACTTTTTGTCAAATATCTCGAATACGGACCATTTTAGGAAAATTTTGTATAGAACAAACATTATAGAGAATAATATTAGAAGTAACTTTTATTTGAAGAATTTTCTTCTCAAAATGTAAATAACAGATATATTCCATAAAATATAAAAATTACCCTTTATAAAGTACCCCCCAGATGTTACGACTCTGTCCAAAATCTACTCAGTTCACTGCAGGCAGGACTTAAGCTTAAGTTTAAAATTTGGTGTTTTTTTTCTTTATTTATTTTTGAGTTTTCTTCAAAATTCGAAATTAACACTTTTTCTCAAATATCTCAAATACGGTTCATTTTAGAGAAATTATGTATAGAACAAACATTATAGAGAATAATATTAGAAGTAACTTTTATTTGAAGAATTTTCTTCTCCAAATGTAAATAACAGATATATTTCATAAAATATAAACATTACCTCCCCTAAAGTACCCCCCCAGATGTTCCGATCCTGCCCAAAATTTAATCAGTTCACCGCAGGTCGGCATAAAGCTTAAGTTTAAAATTTGATGTTTTTCTCTTTATTCGTTTTTGAATTTTCTTCAAAATTCGAAATTAACACTTTTTGTCAAATATCTCGAATACGGACCATTTTAGGAAAATTTTGTATAGAACAAACATTATAGAGAATAATATTAGAAGTAACTTTTATTTGAAGAATTTTCTTCTCAAAATGTAAATAACAGATATATTTCATAAAATATAAAAACTACCCTTTATAAAGTACCCCCCAGATGTTCCGACTCTGTCCAAAATCTACTCAGTTCACTGCAGGCAGGACTTAAGCTTAAGTTTAAAATTTGGTGTTTTTTTCTTTATTTATTTTTGAGTTTTCTTCAAAATTCGAAATTAACACTTTTTCTCAAATATCTCGAATACGGTCCATTTTAGAGAAATTATGTATGAGGCAAAAATTATAGAGAATAATATTAGAAGCAACTTTTATTTGAAGAATTTTCTTCTCCAAACATAAATAACAGATATATTCCATAAAATATAAAATGAGTGGAGAATCCTACTTATGCTTTAAAATTGATATATTCCAGTATCAACTATCATCTTTTAATTTCATGTTGTATGTGTTTGTCTTAACAAGTCAATGTTAAAATTTCAATACACAATAACTATTTGAGAATTATCACATACATTTTCTTCAGCCCAAGTGTTGAAACAGTCTGAAAAATGTATCACAGAGACAAACCTACAATCTTTTTTTAGGTCAGCAAACTACCGTCTCTCCTATTGGACCAGATGAACTTCCTCCACCATTTTATCAGCAATCTGAAGGAGGCGGAGTTCCAATGGTTACTTGCAGAGTATGCCAAGCCATGATCGATATATCAGGAAAAAGAGATCAACATGTTGTGAAATGTACTCAATGCAATGAGGCAACAGTAAGTATTCAATATCATCATCATTGTTGAATAGATATAACTTTGTTTATTTTTACAGCCAATAAGAAACGCTCCGCCTGGTAAAAAGTACGTTCGTTGCCCTTGTAATTGTTTGCTGATATGTAAGAGTTCGTCGCAAAGAATTGCATGTCCTAGACCGAATTGTAAAAGGATTATAAATTTGGCACCTAGTCCTGTTACTCCACCTGTTCCTACAATGCCTGGAATGTGCAGAGTCACGTGTGGTCATTGTCATGACACTTTTTTGGTAAGTCAATTCATATTTTATTTTATTTATATATATTGAAGTGCAAGTTTCTAGTTGTATTATTGATTATAAGATTTATCTAAAAAAGTGTAACTAGATAAGATTTAATTATGTAAATAAATACCCTGTCCAGCAATGGGGAACTGTCTGCATCTGAATCTGACAATATAATGAATGGTTTTTTTTTAAATTGTTATTTAAAATATTTTGATAGTTCTATTTGGATGTAGATGTAAAATTTATTATTTTATTTTATTTCTTTTATTCTAGATACCGATAGAAAATGAAATTTTAGGGTTTTTGAGCTTTTAAAATTCGAAATTTGTGTTTTTCTCAATTATCTCGAATACGGTCCATTTTGTAAATATTAAGTTTAAGACAAGAATTATAGAGAATGACATCACGAACAACTTTTATTTGAACAATTTTTTTAAACATTTCATTTTTTTACTTTTTGACAAATTTCTCGAATACGGATGATTTTAGAAAAATTTTGTGTAGAATAAAAATTATAGAGAATAATAGTACAAACAACTTTTATTTAAAGAATTTTCTTCTCCAAATGTAAATAACAGATGTATTTCATAAAATATAAAAATGACCATCTATAAAGTACCTCCCTAGATGTTCAGACTGTACCCAAAATTTAATCAGTTCACCGCAGGTCAGCATAAAGCTTAAGTTTCAAATTTGGTGTATTTTTCTTTATTTATTTTTGAGTTTTCTTCAAAATTCGAAATTAACACTTTTTCTCAAATATCTCGAATACGGTCCATTTTGGAGAAATTATGTATGGGGCAAAAATTATAGATAATAATATTAGAAGTAACTTTTATTTGAAGAATTTTCTTCTCCAAATATAAATAATAGAAATATTCCATAAAATATAAAAATGACCTTCCCTAAAGTACCCCCCTAAATGTTTCGATCCTGCCCAAAATCTAATCAGTTCACCGCAGGCCGGAATAAAGCTTAAGTTTAAAATTTGATATTTTTCTCTTTATCCGTTTTTGAGTTTTCTTCAAAATTCGAAATTAACACTTTTTCTCAAATATCTCGAATACGGTCCATTTTAGAGAAATTATGTATAGAACAAAATTATAGAGAATAATATTAGAAGTAACTTTTATTTGAAGAATTTTCTTCTCCAAATGTAAATAACAGATATATTTCATAAAATATAAAAATGACCCTCTATAAAGTACCCCCCTAGATGTTCCGATTCTGCCCAAAATTTAATCAGTTCACCACAGGTCGCCATAAAGCTTAAGTTTAAAATTTGATGTATTTTTCTTTATTTATTTTTGAGTTTTCTTCAAAATTCGAAATTAACACTTTTTCTCAAATATCTCGAATACGGTCCATTTTAGAGAAATTATGTATAGAACAAAATTATAGAGAATAATATTAGAAGTAACTTTTATTTGAAGAATTTTCTTCTCCAAATGTAAATAACAGATATAGTACCCGCCCAGATGTTCCGACTCTGCCCAAAATCTAAACAGTTCACTGCAGGCCGGAATGAAGCTTAAGTTTAAAATTTGATGTTTTTCTCTTTATCCGTTTTTGAATTTTCTTCAAAATTCGAAATTAACACATTTTCTCAAATATCTCGAATACGGTCCATTTTAGAAAAATTATGTATAAAACAAATTTTATAGTGAATAATATTAGAAGCAACTTTTATTTGAAGAATTTTCTTCTCCAAACATAAATAACAGATATATTCCATAAAATATAAAAATTACCCTCTATTAATTATCCCCCCAGATGTTCCGACTTTTCCCAGAATCTAATCAGTTCACCGCAGGCCGGAATAAAGCTTAAGTTTAAAATTTGATATTTTTCTCTTTATTCGTTTTTGAATTTTCTTCAAAATTCGAAATTAACACTTTTTGTCAAATATCTCGAATACGGACCATTTTAGGAAAATTTTGTATACAACAAATATTATAGAGAAAAACATTAGAAATAACTTTTATTTGAAGAATTTTCTTCTCCAAATGTAAATAACAGATATATGCCGTAAAATATAAAAATTACCCTCTATAAAGTACCTCCTAAAAGTTTCCTTATATGTATACAGTCAGGAAAGTAAATATTACTAATAATATTTTACAATATACGTTTTTTTATTTACTTATCTTTTTACGTGGAACTTCTCCAAAAAAACATTGAATAGTAATTTTTAGACTAACAAAATTCGTTAAAAAAAAAACATTTTAGAAACTATAAAAATTTTATAAATATGCCCCGTGTTTTGTTTATGAACTGTATATTAAAATTTGTTGGTTTGAAATAAACTTTTATTCTAAACTAAATAACTAATTATTTGAATACATTTGTTAACAATAAAATATATATATGACAAGTATATTTTCTGCAAAGTACCAGAGTATTCTCTCCTTATCGAACCCAGTGTTGCCAACCTTGAAGTAAAACATCCCTCCCATTTAGGTCAGCTTATAATTACATAAACCAGTTGGTCCTTCTGTCCACCTTCTAAAAAAAAAAAGTTCCAAGATCCTCAGTTTGTATTGTTAATAAACCAGCAAGTCTTTTCTAAAAACTATCCAAGTATTCCCGGATATTCACAAATTCCCGCGAAACGGGAAATTTTCTTCTGATTGGCAACACTGATCTACTGCGCTTAGGGTTGCCACCTTTTCGAAAAGTGAAAAAAAGGACAATGAACCTGACAGTTGCTCTGATATACAAACAGCAAAAAACTCCTTATCCTTGTAGTGGACTTGAAAAAAAAAAGAAGAGAAAACGAAAGAAATCCTCATCCTTCTAAAAAAAAAGAACTGGGCGTCGAAGTGAACAAACAAATCCTCAAAAAATCTTTAAAAATCCTCAAAAAAATCTCAAAAAAATCCTCAAAAAATCCTCAAAAAAAATCCACAATAAAATCCTCAAAAAATCATCAAAAAATCCTTAGCGTTATATATTTGTGTACAAAATTATGTGCTGTCAGTCAAAAAAGACATTTGTTCCAAACAAATCCTCAAAAATTTCTCAAACAATCCTTAAAGAATTCTTTAAAAAAATTCTCAATAAAATCATCAAAAAATCCTCATCTTATATATTTGTGTACAAAATTATGTGCTGTCAGTCAAAAAAAAAAACATTTGTCCCAAACAAATCCTCAAAAAATTCTCAAAAAATCATCAAAAAATCCTCAAAAATTTCTCAAACCTTTCTCAAACAATCCTCAAAGAATCCTCAAAAAATTCTCAATAAAATCATCAAAAAATCCTCAGCTTATTTATTTGTGTACAAAATTATGTGCTGTCAGTCAAAAAAGACATTTGTCTCACACAAATCCTCAAAAAATTCTCAAAAAATCTTCAAAAAATCCTCAAACCTTTCTCAAACAATCCTCAAAGAATCCTCAAAGAATCCTCAAAAAATTCTCAATAAAATCATCAAAAAATCCTCAGCTTATTTATTTGTGTACAAAATTATGTGCTGTCAGTCAAAAAAGACATTTGTCTCAAACAAATCCTTAAAAAATTCTCAAAAAATCTTCAAAAAATCCTCAAACCTTTCTCAAACAATCCTCAAAGAATCCTCAAAAAAATTCTCAATAAAATCATTAAAAAATCCTCAGCTTATTTATTTGTGTACAAAATTATGTGCTGTCAGTCAAAAAAAACATTTGTCCCAAACAAATCCTCAAAAAATTCTCAAAAAATCATCAAAAAATCCTCAAACATTTCTCAAACAATCCTCAAAAAAATTCTCAATAAAATCATTAAAAAATCCTCAGCTTATTTATTTGTGTACAAAATTATGTGCTGTCAGTCAAAAAAGACATTTGTCTCAAACAAATCCTCAAAAAATTCTCAAAAAATCATCAAAAAATCCTCAAAAATTTCTCAAACCTTTCTCAAACAATCCTCAAAGAATCCTCAAAAAATTCTCAATAAAATCATCAAAAAATCCTCAGCTTATTTATTTGTGTACAAAATTATGTGCTGTCAGTCAAAAAAGACATTTGTCTCAAACAAATCCTTAAAAAATTCTCAAAAAATCTTCAAAAAATCCTCAAACCTTTCTCAAACAATCCTCAAAGAATCCTCAAAGAATCCTCAAAAAAATTCTCAATAAAATCATTAAAAAATCCTCAGCTTATTTATTTGTGTACAAAATTATGTGCTGTCAGTCAAAAAAAACATTTGTCCCAAACAAATCCTCAAAAAATTCTCAAAAAATCATCAAAAAATCCTCAAAAAATCCTCAAACATTTCTCAAACAATCCTCAAAAAAATTCTCAATAAAATCATTAAAAAATCCTCAGCTTATTTATTTGTGTACAAAATTATGTGCTGTCAGTCAAAAAAGACATTTGTCTCAAACAAATCCTCAAAAAATTCTCAAAAAATCTTCAAAAAATCCTCAAATATCCTCAAACCTTTCTCAAACAATCCTCAAAGAATCCTCAAAAAATTCTCAATAAAATCCTCAAAAAATCCTTAGCTTATATATTTGTGTACAAAATTATGTGCTGTCAGTCAAAAAAGACATTTGTCTCAAACAAATCCTCAAAAAATTCTCAAAAAATCATCAAAAAATCCTCAAAAATTTCTCAAACAATCCTCAAAGAATCCTCAAAAAAATTCTCAATAAAATCATCAAAATAATCCTCAGCTTATATATTTGTGTACAAAATTATGTGCTGTCAGTCAAAAAAAACATTTGTCCCAAACAAATCCTCAAAAAAATCCTCAAAAAATCCTCAAAAATATGCAGAAGCGCAGATGCAATTGTATAACACATTTATTTTTTCTTTTCTAGTTTAACACTTTGAATAACGCCCTAGCGAGATGCCCCCATTGTCGAAAAATATCATCAGTAGGACCCGATTACGCCCGAGGTAGAGCCAACATCTTCCTCATCCTCTCCGCTGTGTTACTCATCGTCGCCGTCGGCGTCACGGCGGGCACTTTCTCGTACGCCAAACGGCATAACGGCACGTACGTCGCGTACGTCGGCGCATTTTTACTAGCATTGATTATGTTCATACGCAGCATGTATTATTTCTTTATGAAGGTGAGTATCATAGAAGGACCGATGTAATTTTTTTATTTGGATATAATATTTGTTTTGTTCGATGTCTGTCTCGCTAAAATAATCGTAAAAATAATAAATTGGATTTATTTTTTTTTATAGCCAACCGTTTATAAAGCCATGCATTACCATAGCGATTTGTGGAAGTTAGAATTAAATTGTGCCGTTAATATTTATCAATATTTAATAGAATTAATATTTTATGCACGACCGGGCGATAAAGTTCAGATTATAAATAGGTTTAGCGGGCGTAAAGTGCCCCTTTATCGCCCGCGGTTGATAAATGTTTTACGCCCTCAATACATAAATAACTATAGGTTGGTGCCCGATCTGTTTTGAAAAGTAAGGACCAGGTGAAACATGTAGTTAGGGTTGTAATTAAAAGAAACAAAAACTTTTAAACGAGAGATATTGAGAAGGGTTGGAATGGGGATGCGGTTTAGGGGTTGAAAACGGTTCTTTTCGATTTTGCGGCGAAACTAGAGCTCCTAGCAAAAAGTATTAAATAAGAAAGTTGTAGATAATAAAAAAATATAAAACTTTTGTACATGACGTTTTTCAACATAACCTCAAATTTTCTGTTAAAATGGCGGAAATACGTATTTTTGCGTTTCGCGACGAAACGTGAGCTCCTAGCGAAAAATGTTCAATACAAAAGTTGTAAATCATGAAAAAATCTAAAACTTTTGTATATGACGTTTTTCAACATAACCTCAAATTTTTCGTTAAAATGGCGAAAAAACGGTTTTTTGCGTTTCGCGGTGAATCGTGAGCTCCTAGCTAAAAGTGTTCAATATAAAAGTTGTAGATATTAAAAAAATCTAAAATTTTTGTATATGTCGTTTTTCAACATAACCTCAAATTTTCCAAGAAAATGGCGGAAAATCGTTTTTTTTGTATTTTGCGGTGAAACTAGAGCTCCTAGCGAAAAATGTTCAATACAAAAGTTGTAAATAATGAAAAAAACTAAAACCTTTGTTTATGACGTTTTTCAACATAACCTCAAATTTTCCGTTAAAATGGCGAAAAAACGGTTTTTTGCGTTTGGCGGCGAAACATGAGCTCCTAGCGAAAAGTTTTCAACACGAAAGTTGTAAATCATGAAAAAATCTAAAACTTTTGTATATGACGTTTTTCAACATAACCTCAAATTTTCCGTTAAAATGGCGAAAAAATGTTTTTTTTTGCGTTTCACGGTGAATCGTGAGCTCCTAGCGAAAAGTGTTCAATATAAAAGTTGTAGATATTAAAAAAATCTAAAACTTTTGTATATGACGTTTTTCAACATAACCTCAAATTTTCCGTTAAAATGGCGAAAAAAACGGTTTTTTGCGTTTCGCGACGAAACATGAGCTCCTAGCGAAAAGTTTTCAATACAAAAGTTGTAAATAATGAAAAAAACTAAAACTTTTGTACATGACGTTTTTCAACATAACCTCAAATTTTCCGTTAAAATGGCGAAAAAACGGTTTTTTGCGTTTGGCGGCGAAACATGAGCTCCTAGCGAAAAGTTTTCAACACGAAAGTTATAAATCATGAAAAAATCTAAAACTTTTGTATATGACGTTTTTCAACATAACCTCAAATTTTCCGTTAAAATGGCGAAAAAATGTTTTTTTTTGCGTTTCACGGTGAATCGTGAGCTCCTAGCGAAAAGTGTTCAATATAAAAGTTGTAGATATTAAAAAAATCTAAAACTTTTGTATATGACGTTTTTCGACATAACCTTAAATTTTCCGTTAAAATGGGGAAAAAATGGTTTTTTTGCGTTTCGCGACGAAACATGAGCTCCTAGCGAATAGTTTTCAATACAAAAGTTGTAAATAATGAAAAAAACTAAAACTTTTGTACATGACGTTTTTCAACATAACCTCAAATTTTCCGAGAAAATCGGCGATAAACCGATTTTTTCTATTTTGCGGCGAAACAAGAGCTCCAAGCGAAAAGTATTCAATACAAAAGTTGTAGATATTAAAAAAATCTAAAACTTTTGTATATGACGTTTTTCGACATAACCTCAAATTTTCCGAAAAAATGGCAAAAAACAGATTTTTTGGTTTTTAATTTTTTTCTAGCGTAAAAATAATTTAATTTACGTGAAATTTGGTGAAAGTGAAATTTTTTTGGTGTTAATTAAATATGAAATTTTTGGAGATTTTTTTTTTGAAAATGTGAATATCTCGAAAACTTGTTTTTCGAAATTTAAAAAATTCATGCTTATTTAACACTAAAAAAGTTTCACTTTCACCAAATTTCACGTAAATTAAATTATTTTTACGCTAGAAAAAAATTAAAAACTGAAAAATTGTTTTTTCGCCATTTTTTCGGAAAATTTGAGGTTATGTTGAAAACAGTCATATACAAAAGTTTTAGATTTTTTCATTATCTACAACTTTCATATTGAACAATTTTCGCTAGTAGTTCTTGTTTCGCTGCAAAACCCAAAAAACTGTTTTCAACTGCAAGTTTTTGGTTTTTTTTAGTTATGTTCCTTATCTGTCATTAATTTTTTTTTTTAGCATTTAAATTCCGTTTTAGCACAAGCCTTTTTTTTTTAGTTTATTATAATAATATCTTTTTTTTTTTTATTAATTATTAATTATTCACGGTTGGTTATAAAAATGTCAGCATAGTGTTTTTATCGAACTCTCATATTATTTCGATAAAAATTCACTTTGCTATTATTCGATTCCAATTTGTTTGTTGGATTTTTGAGATTATTATGTTACAAATAAAAGACTATGCTTTAAATTCGTTATATAGAAAATAGAAAATGATTGTATTGGTGCCATTGTTTTTTTTTTAGAAAGACAGACATAAATTTACGGATTATAAAAATAGTTATTCTTTTTTTTTACTTTTATTAATATTAAATCATTAAGCCAAATAATATGGAATACTTTGTTTATTACATACACAAAAATTGTCTTAAAATAGATATTTGAAAGATTTAGTTTGGATTTAATTTAGCGGCGTTTGTTATTATCACAGATATAAGTCGTATCTTCTCTCTTTGTCGTTCGTAACTTACTTTGGAACCATTTTTTTTGTCAATTACTCTTGACTTATGCTAATTGTTTAAAAGTTTTTTCGTTTGGGCATACACATTCTTCCAATCATTATCTCTGAAATTATTCATTACATTCTGATTTGATCCACTTCCAGATCTATTCGTTAAAGTCTGTGGCTAATTTTAATACACCTAACTCTTCAATTAACCCCACAAAGTCTCTTTAACAGAGACCATTTGGAAAAATTACATGTTTTGGAGATGTCCCTTTTACACAGCATAGGTGCGCTGCTGAGGAGTTCACCGTTTCCGATTTCTGTAGTGTAATAAATAAAAAAAAAATATTCCACATACTTTTTTTTTTTGAAAATTACTTTAATTAAACAAAAGTTCATAATATATATTTATTTTGTTTCTAGAGTAGTAATCAATAGTTTTTCGGAACTTTAAACAGATCCCATCTGATTTCTGTAGTGTAATAAAGAAAAGAAATATATTCCACATACTTTTTTTTTTTGAAAATTACCTTAATTAAACAAAAGTTTATAATATATATTTATTTTGTTTCTAGAGTAGTAATCAATAGTTTTTCGGAACTTTAAACAGATCTCATCTGATTTCTGTAGTGTAATAAAGAAAAAAAAATATTCCACATACTTTTTTTTTGAAAATTACCTTAATTAAACAAACGTTCATAATATATACTTATTTTGTTTCTAGAGTAGTAATCAATAGTTTTTCGGAACTTTAAACAGATCCCATCTGATTTCTGTAGTGTAATAAAGAAAAGAAATATATTCCACATACTTTTTTTTTTTTGAAAATTACCTTAATTAAACAAAAGTTCATAATATATATTTATTTTGTTTCTAGAGTAGTAATCAATAGTTTTTCGGAACTTTAAACAGATCCCATCTGATTTCTGTAGTGTAATAAAGAAAAGAAAATATTCCACATACTTTTTTTTTTGAAAATTACCTTAATTAAACAAAAGTTCATAATATATATTTATTTTGTTTCTAGAGTAGTAATCAATAGTTTTTCGGAACTTTAAACAGATCCCATCTGATTTCTGTAGTGTAATAAAGAAAAGAAATATATTCCACATACTTTTTTTTTTTTGAAAATTACCTTAATTAAACAAAAGTTCATAATATATATTTATTTTGTTTCTAGAGTAGTAATCAATAGTTTTTCGGAACTTTAAACAGATCCCATCTGATTTCTGTAGTGTAATAAAGAAAAGAAATATATTCCACATACTTTTTTTTTTTTTTTTTGAAAATTACCTTAATTAAACAAAAGTTCATAATATATATTTATTTTGTTTCTAGAGTAGTAATCAATAGTTTTTCGGAACTTTAAACAGATCCCATCTGATTTCTGTAGTGTAATAAAGAAAAAAAAATATTCCACATACTTTTTTTTTTAAAAATTACCTTAATTAAACAAACGTTCATAATATATACTTATTTTGTTTCTAGAGTAGTAATCAATAGTTTTTCGGAACTTTACACAGATCCCATCTGATTTCTGTAGTGTAATAAATAAAAGAAAAATATTCCACATACTTTTTTTTATTATATCTACACAAGAAACGTCCCTACCATTTCCTAATATGTTAAAACCCTCATCATATGTATATTTGACTGTTTTATCCACTTTTTCTTCTTGCAACCAATTTAAATTCGCCATTATTTCGTTTCATCTCTTTCTTGATGGTATAAATAGTTTTTTCATTGATCCTACCCATTTTAAAAGCGCGACTTACTACTGCAGTCACACTCAATATATCGTCATTGATTAAATAACAAAGTATGGAGCATCTGTGACGTGAATTTTGTTTTCCAGACAATTTTTTTTAATGACATATTTCTAAATCGTACAACAAAGAATAACTATTTTTATATAAAAAAGAAAAATGTGATGTTCTATATAGTTATATAATATATTGATATAACCAGTTGTAACTTAGATGTAGAAAATACTATTTTGGAACAAGTTTGCAAGGTTATATTCTGGGTTGGGACTCATAGAATGTGTTGTGTAAAATGACATAAATAGTATATTTATTATGTACATTGTCGGCTATTTGACATCTTCTAATACGCGGTTCATAAATGCATTGTTTTTTTGGGGTATTTAGCCGATACTGTATATCAAGGGATTGAAGTCACTTCAATCCCATATATACACTATTTTAAGTACATTTTTCACAGGTTGACATTGAGTTATGGACTTAAAGAACGAGTATTCTTTCAAACTGATAATAATAATAATAATAATAAAAACTTGTTATCCTTAGTGTATATCTATCAAATTAACGTTTTTTATGAACAAATAAAATACCTTTATACCTACATACGAGGTGTCGCTAAAAATAAACCGGATTAGTGATTCATGTGGATTTTCCATTGGTCATAGCAATATTTTCATGGTTTTTACTTTCTTTTTGATAGTTTTACTGTCCTAAATAGCTTTCAGCGATGATTTGACCTTGGGTAATAAAAGAAAGTCGTATGAGCCGAAATCAAGTTATTCTAAAACT